CAGCGGCAAAAGCGCCTGCCTGGCAAGCGCAAGGTCGTGAGTTCGGTTCCCGGTACCGGAGAAAAACCAAAAAAAAAAAAAAAAAAAGAAAAGTACTTGTGGGTAGGCAGGGTATCCATTTAGATACACATGTTCCCAATTAGGAACAATTTTTTTTTGTCATTAATTTAGCATATGACTATGCAAGGCATTTTAGCCTCAATTTCCTTAAGTTCCTAATTTCATATTTTTAAAAAAAAACATACTTTTTCATTGAGGTACTGATAGGCATGCCTCTTGGGGGTAAGGGGCAGTGACTTTCTCTGAAGGGGGTTTGGTCCTGCAGTTACTCAGAACAAGATAGAGTTCATGAATTCAGTTCTCTGTGATTCTGGCTGCAAACCAAACCGGAAGAGAACCAGATCACATTTTCCCATAGGGTCAATGTTGGACCTAACCATTGAATTTGATTTGGTTTTCGCCCAGCTCAGTTTGGAACCAGCATAGTGGAAAGAATCAGGTTTGTGAACCGAGGTGCTCCTATACAGAATATTCCCTGCACTCCTTTTATCACTAGCCATTTTTCATTCCCATGGGATTTATATGATTCTGATTTACATGATCATAAAATTTATTCTTGTCTTTATTATAATAGCTTTGAGATATGTCACATACTGTATAATTCCCATTTAAAGTATATAATTTAATGACTTTGAGTATTTCCGAGTTGTGCAGTTATCACCAATGATAGAATATTTTCATCACTCTAAGGAAAAGTCCCATACCTGTTAATGGTCATACTACTTCCTGCCCAATGCTGCTCTCGCAGGGGTGAGCAGTTGTTACCGTACTCTCCAGATTTCCTAGATGCTTCCTATAAATGGAGTCATGAAATATGTGGTTCTTTTATGACTGACCAGCTTCTTTTACTTAGTATATTGTAAATATTCATCTGTGCTGTAGCATTATCAGCTATAACATCATTATGGTGTAGTATTGTATTCTTTTAAAAGTGGTGAATAATATTTCATTTTATGGATGTGCTACATTTTTTCTTCTGTCAGCTGAAAGTTTAGGGTTGGTTCCGCTAACTATTATGAATAATGTTATGAACACTACACAGGTTTTCGTGTGTTTCAATTTCTTTTGGGTATGTACCTAAGCAGCAGAATTGCTGGGCGGAATTAACTCTATGTGTGAACTCTTGAGGAGCTGTGAAAGTGGTTTGTAAAGTGACTGTACTGAATTATATTCCCACGAGCAGTGTATGATTACGTTGCTCACCAACGCTTGTTAATGCCTGTCTTTTGAATAGTAGTCATCCTGCTGGATTTGAAGTGGTATCTCATGGTTTTGATTTGCATTTCCTTAATGTTTAAGGATGTTGAGCATCTTTCCATGCGCCTCTTCACCATAAACAAATAAGTATATATATTGTAAAGTTTGAATTTT